TCAAGCATGTTCTGGGTGAAAGGTGCCATGACCTGTCCGGCGTAAGGCTCAATGATTCCCTTCAAGGTAGGGACAGATCCAGGAATGGTGGCCTCAGTGAGGAAACCRAAAATTCCAAGCATGGCAAGACGTCCATTGTTGATTTCGATTTCCAATCCACGGGCCTTCTTTTCTTCGCTGGCACGCTTGCTGAGTTTGAAGGGATCAAACAAGTTGAAAGGGACGGGGTGGGGAAGGGSAAYGGTATCGAAGTCGGGGAAGTCACCGGGTCTTCCTCCTCGCATGTAATGCTTGTGRTCGTCGGTACTAATTTCACTGTAAAGTTCCAAGAAGAGAACGAGTCCAAATATTTGCCATTTGGAGTTGTCGGGAATTTGGTCCCAAAGAGCAGGAGGGTTGTTTCCCTCTGGGAACGGGGTTCCGTCCAACATCATAGGCCAAGGCCAACGGATGCCGTTGGCATGGACAAGGTATCCGACGAAGGCGAACATAGCAACGCGTCCATGCCTAAAAAGAGAACCATCGCAACGTTGACAAGAGTCAGATTTGAGGTTGGTTTTTCGGTTCCGCTTCATCCGTCTGGAAAATACGTCGGTGCTGGGAAATTTAAAAAATACTTACTTGATCTCAGCATGACGCAAAAATCCAATGGTTTGTTCGTTGGTTTGTCCCCAGAATTCGGCTTCGGCCAAGTTCAAAGGATCGTAGAAACCAACGATAGGATTCAACTTCTTGGCCAACTCTTCGAGGTCAGCCTTGGTCTCGTAACCATCACTGGTGGCAACAGGAGCAGGTTCKGCAACCGATTCATACACTTTGACCGACGATCGGGGCGAAGTAGCAGTTGGCGCAAAGGCCGAAGTAGTTCCGGCAAGAGCCAGAGAGAGGATTGCGGATGCGGTAGTCTTCATCTTGTTGTTTTTTCTTTGGTTGATTCTTCAGCTTACAGAAATTGAATTTATGAGATCATRACCATCGACTGCAATAATCCTTCCTTTCGATTGCCAATCGAATCATTTTTTCCTCAGTCGTTATCCAAATTGCGAATAATCTGCTGATTCTTTTTTTAATCAGGATATCTCTCTAGCTTCTTCAATATTCAACATCACGCACGTGCGCAAGCGAAGACACTGTAGAGATATTCTAAAGGTTGCCCTACATCCGCGATTCGACAACAAGGATACACCGTACAACTGTACAGACGACGTCGTTGAAACGGTTCATGCATTTAGATGTGACGTTGTTGATGAGGTTTACGAATCATCTACGACTAGCGAATAAAGATATTGGATTTGAATTGTTGTCTACCGATGGCATGTGATTCTCGTTTGTGGCATAAGCAACGTGCGCAAAGCATGGTATCTTTTTTGATCCCCATGAGGAAAATGTGTGCAAGCCATACGCAAACATCAACGGAAAATAATCGTTGCTGTATCGTGAAGTTCTTATTTTTTTATGTCCACGTGCACTGTGCCAACATACTTTTAATACCTATCAAGCATATTTGGAAGGAACTGCGGTACGTAGTTCCTTACTTATGACATGGTATGTAGCAAGCGTATCTACCGTACGTCTGTATGCTAGAAAGAATTTTGCCAAAAAATCATGAAGGAAGAACGCGATGATCTAATACCATAGGTACTCGTACTATGTACTACTGTATTACAGTACTCGTACCTCTTGTAATACGTACGTACCGTACCGTAAAATACTCGTACCCTAATCTCCAAAAATTAAAGATGTGACAATTTGTGATCGGAGCGGAGAAGGCGAATTGGTTCTGAAGGCTGAACTGATGAAAAATAGATCAAAATGCTTGAATTTATGGAAAATTTACACTCCACGCTTTGAGCACGCGGTTGCACGCAACCTGCATGATGCGTTGTATATTTAACGATTTGATAGAACAATTCAATATTTTATTTTAAAACTAAACACAAAAATCTAATCGATTTATTACTATTTTTACGGCTTATATTTGGCCACGAAAAACACTATTCCGATAGTCTCATTCTGAAAGCTGCAGGTATGAACGGTATTTGCAGCTTTAAACATTAAACGGACGTTCTGTTCACATTCATTCGACATGTCTCTCTCGTGAAAAATCTGTTATTGACATTGTTCCTGTTCCAAAGCTGACAACAATTTCGCTGCTCACCTTTTTTGGTCCACGACGATAACCCATATGTATGAAACAGACCGAAAATCAAATGGAAAACAGACAGAAAAAAGAGGAAGAGAAAAAGCGATCGGATCACTACTGCCGGACAGAGAACACTCAATTGCTACAGCGGCAAGAAGCGCAGCAAAAACTCCTCCGCTATGAACATCTTCATCGACATCTAAGAGAGCAACAACAACAGCCTCACATGCGCTTTCATATAGATCCTGGAGCTAATGGCGTTGGTCTTATTCMAGCTCAGCCCTTAATAAGTGCAAATGATGTCCTTCATCCCAATCACCGCAATTATCAAGAGCAGCAGCAATCGCATCTCACAATTCACCCACAACACCAAGAAGCAAATTTTCCTCCGCATCCTACGCCAATCCTCCCATTTCGGGGTCAAAACATGTTCCCTATATGTCCATCAAATCCCACCGTACCAAGGATRGCAACGGGATTGAATGCATCAGCATGGAGCATACCACAAAAGAAGACTTCTCCAAATGGCATGCCTTTTGAGGGAGGTTTCACCCACGCTGGCAATGGAGTAGATCCTGCTGCCATTGTGAGTACGACAGTTAATAATGCATGTGTTGAAGGAAACAACGTTCTTGCTGAACCCAGCGGCAAGCGAAGCAACGATGCCACTATTACTTCAACGAGATCAATTCGTTCGGAACGAAAGCGGGAACTCGAAAAACAGCGTCGGTTCGAACTGAACGAGCGATTTACTACATTAGTTSAGCTCATTAGCCGTATTGAAACCGAGGACGACGCAGCAAATAAATTGTGGCAATTGGAGCAAGGTCAAAAARCAATTCCCATGAAGGAACAACACAATGTCGACGAGGGATCCAAAACWTGTCCCTCAAAGATTGCTACCGGTAGCAAAGCAACTACGATTTCAACATCGATATCGGAAGTTGCTGCAATGGTAGCGGCAGAACGAGACGATTTCAAACGCAAGTTCCCACATTTTATCACGTCTARTAATCGTGCTGATCTGATTGAACGCACCGTATCCCACCTGGAACGTTGTGCAAAGATCCGAACGTGGCAAGACGGTGTTATTGCATCCCTGAAGAGGACACTGAAAGCTGTGAAAAAGGATACACAAGTTGCCCAACAGAAACTAAGTGATCTCGAAATATACGGCAGATTCAATGCAGCCACAATGGCAATGRCAACAGCTCCTATGCATCCAATGATCGCTAAAGTTGGTGATAGCGAAGGGAACAATACCAAAGACACAAGTACGTCTTTGACAGCTGACAAGACGAAAGCGGTGGCTACACAGCAACAGCAACAGCAACAGCAACAGCAGCATCAACAACCACCTCAGGTACGTATGTCCAGTGAAATGCTCCCAAAAAATAAAGGTATATGTGCGTTGGTTTGTGTACTTTTAAGAAATGCTATTTACCTTTGTTGTGTTGTTTGCTTTCTTCTCAGATGATGTTTATGGTACCGATGATGGTTGATGCAACTGACGGTTCAARCCAACACCCGAGTACCAATGCTGGTTCGAGCCATCCATATCTTTTGCCAATGCCAGTCGCTTCAATAGGTGGCCAACAATTTACCAATATGATGATGCCACTGCCGTCACCGATGCTACCCCAAGGAGCAGCACCGACGTGTCTTGMAACGCCACAGCAACRAGCCGATCCACAGGAACAGCCGGAAGAGSRAGARCAGCAGCRTTGCCACGACAAAAAACAGGAGCAACACGAAGAACTTCCCGGATCCGATGCATGACTGCCGGAAACATGCTTGCGCCAAGGACAGCAACGCCTGCTTTGAGCAGAAAGGCAGTGCGGAGTGTAGATGCGGTTGTTGCCCATCCCCGGCACTCCCTTTGAGGGCACAGCACAAGGCTCGGCCACCTTCGATAACGAAACCCCCTATCGCTCATCGGAGAGAACAGAAGCCTCTCCTGTTACATCTCCCGCCCACTCCCTTGGACCAATGCAAGCGACACCATCATGTACAAAAACAAAGGCAACAAAAAAGGAATCATCCATCGCCCCGTCACGAATGCTCTATTCCGAAAGGAATGCCATTTATGGTACGGGTAGCAGAGTTTGAATACTTTGTTGGAACGATTCGTCGGTGCTCTAGGGCGTCATTGTCCGAGCCAAAGTTAAATCGTTTTAGGTTTGTCTCAATGCTTTGGTGGACACTCAATCTGCTACTAMGTCRGTTGGAAAACGATACTAGCAGTCATACTTCGCGCTAGTGTAAYACCTCTTTTGCGACTTTCTCAACCAATTCTACAACCCAGTGTATGGATAATTGTTGATAGGAAGTACATACCACCCAGTTATCCGTGGCTTTCACAATTATTGCTGGTTCTCGTACCAAAATATCCGAAAGTWACGACGATGGATGTGTCGGATTTTACATGTTGTGGATAATATTTTGTACATGCCGTACAGTACCGTACCGTACGTACTTGTACTCCAAGTACGAGTTCCTATTTCGTATGTTCTCGTCGTTTTGGTATTCACCGGTTTTGGGGGGGTTTGATGATGGATGGGGATCGATGATCGCATTCGACTCGGTCGATTCGTACAACTCGGGCCCCCAACTAGCGCGCCAAAACCATTCATCGACCGGAGCACGCAATGAAAACTGCGTTACCTAAATGTACGGTGCCGTACGTTGGCGTACGTGGTAGAGGTGCAGTAGGAACAAACGTAGCATCCAGGAAGAGTGGAATCGGACGCATTGGTGTCATTCCGTTCCGTGCGGCGATGATTCTGTTGCACATACAGCAAAATCACCGTCTTTCTCCTACCGTACCGTATTACGATAGTAGTACCGTGCTTCTTCGACCTTCGTCTCTACAAAAGATCTCTGCCTACCGGTACCGAGCAGTGCTTCGGTTATTCTCTGTTCTGGTCGAGTTCAGCTCATTGACGTTTCTCCCTGATCGTGATACGAATCAAGCCGAAAGAAACCACGRCATTTGCAACAGCAAGAGCAACTTCGCACACCGCAACACACCGGTGGATGACAATCCGATCCACGCGACCTGCATACCTTCTTTTTGCTGTTTCCGCACCGCTCTTMTCGATCCAAGGCGTCGCTTCCCTGCGTGGACCCGTTTCGCTTCCTGTCACCGATACCTACCACCGCTGCTGTTCCTACCGTGCAACCCTAAGCAACGCGTGTAGCAATACGCTGTTTGACATGACAACAACCCCTCGTACTACTATTACTACTGCTGCTGCTGCTGCGAAGACATCTGGCAAGAGTTCGTCGTCCCCCACCAGCGTGGCGCAGCATCTGCACCGCGATTGGCACCTGCACCTGCATCCGATGGACGGCGAATTCAACGAATCGGATTCGTTTTCGATGCTCCTTCTCGACCCCCGGTCCTGCATCCTCCGAGTCGGGGCCGATGCGGGGCGGCTCTGTACCGTTGGGAACCAGATGCTCCTGGACCAACGGTCGAACGCGAGCAGCGGAATCGACCAAGCCGGTGGCACCAAAGAGACACCAACACTCAAAGCAACACCAACGTCTGCCTCTGGGGACGAGCATCTGATCCATGCACTTTCCGAGCTCTTTGTGGATCTATGCTTCACGGCGCAGTCCCTGGGCCTGGACTGGGTCAARAGCATACGCTCCAAGATGGCACTGAACGCCAAAAAATATCCCGTCGAGCATTGCAAGGTACGAGTGCGGAGCCAGATGGTGTGCATTGTGTGTTTGCCCTTGATTGTGCTGCCTTGCTTTGTGTCGTGTCTTTTCGTTTCGTGTCGTTTACTTAGGTTTTTTTGGTCCAATTGTTTCTGCTTTCTTTGTCAATTCCCGAATCTACTCTATGGATCYAACCCACCACTCTCTGGTCCAAAACATTCTTTTCTCTTCTATTTCACTCGAAACAAAACGAAACGTTCCAGGGAAAATCCGGCAAGTACACYTCCTATTCGCACCTCACGGGCATCACGACCACCAACCAGTCCACCATGGACTACGGCGACGACACAAAGGACGACGATGGAAACGGTGAAAGCGATGCATGCAGCGACACCGACAMCGTCCACACGGCGTTGCGGTCTCTGGAGTCCTTTGCGGGCGAGCACCTCCCAACGCTCTCCGAGGACATTCGGGAGTTTGCCGAGGCCCGGCTCTGGGCCAGGTACCACAAGCCCCGGAACCTCATCCTGGCGCTCCTGGGGGAGGCCGGAGAACTGGCCGAAGTCCTCCAGTGGGACGGGGACGACGACGACGACGAAGGAGGCGCCGACACGAGGCCCACCATCGATCCTTCCACCCTCGACAAGCTGTCCCAGGARCTCGCGGACGTTTCCATCTACGCGATACGGCTCGCGACCGTGTGCGGCGTCGTCGGCGGGCTGGGGGACTCGTTGCTGGTCCGGGCCACCGGTCCGCCCACCAGGCTGTTCCCCGGGGAATAGAAAGCACAGCAGGCCACGAGCGTCGTTTGGCGGAACCAAAACACCAATCGAGAGCGAAGCACGGAAACCAAGGAACCTACTATGGAATCATACATGGCTGCCAAAGGGCAACAACAGTTGGTTTATTATACTAGGCACACGGACTCTTCCCAACAGGGTGATAGCAACTCTCTTTCYGACACTTGCAAACGATCACAAGTACAGTACGCATTTTGGTTCTCCTGTGTTTACTACATTAAACATATTGTAATATTTGCAATCGGCACTCGAACTCCCGCAGCTACAAGCAGCCGACATTCCTCTTCTACAAAGCGTTCGTCGCTATGGTAGTGTGCCGATCTGTCTCTCGATCATCGCTGTCGTMSTTGTCGTTGTCGCTGTCGGGCTTGCCGCTCGCCGCCGTGGCGCCCCCCAGCAGCAAAAAGTCCTTCTTGCACAAGACGTGGCCGCAGCCCAGCGCCACGTTGGGYGATTCGATCTGTTCCTCGTGGCAGATCGAGCACCGATCGAGGRTCGTGAAGACGAGCATAGCCCCGTGGCTGCACCGCACGTGGTCCAGGCAGCTGGGGTTGCTGCCACGGGATCCGGGGTCGCTGAATTCAGCGGAGCAAATGGGACACCGGATTTTTCGCGTGCCTACGGTCTCGTCTTCTCCACCCAAAGACCCGTACCGGCTTTCTAGGGCTCTGCCCAAAATCTCAATCTCTTCAAGATGTTCGTAGTACGGTTCGTAGTACGGTTCGAATTCCGTTTCGGCATCGTCCTCGGTCGAGGCCGTGGGAATCTGCATCAGATCCTGCAGGCTGTCTACCACGTTTGATGCCCTCAGYCGATCCCGATGGTCCTCTTCGGTGGCCACGGAGGACTCTCGCGAKTCGAGTTCTTCCTCGTGGTCGCCGTCCAGCAGCTCCGACGCAAGAARTTGCTCCGTGCGCGTGAACGCCCTTTCGGTGATTTCCTGAAWCGTATCCCTGATACGTGTCAGGTGCTCGATATCYCTYACACGTGCCAGGTGTTCGATGTGGGTGTTGTTGGTGGTTGGGGGATCGTAGTAAGGAGATGTGGAAACACCCGTGCTTRYGTCTTCCGCATCGGTGTTGCCGAATCGCGGGGTGTCTGATTCCGCGGTCAGTGGTGAAGCCGAGAGGTTCAAACCACGAACATCCACGGAGTGAGAAGGAGACATAGATTCGCTTCTTTCATCATTGTCGTCACCTGGATGGTTTCCATCGATTTCGTCGCTGGTGTTGCTCATGGTTTTTGCTTTACTGGGTGGAATGGGATGTTGTGATTGGTATGCAATGGCGTGGCATTATCGAATCGAATGGAAATGGAAATGGAAATGGACCAGGAAAAATATGCGATGGACAGAATAAGATACCGATGGAGTTAGCATGCTATTTGTTGCTGTCTGGTTACTTCTTTTTATCAACCCATTATTTGATTGTGACTGATTGTTTGTGCTGTTAATAGTATCTCCAGGACAAGAGAACAACCAAAAAGTACTCGTTCGTACAGTATCGTACGGTACATAATCTCCATTTTTTACTTTTAAGAATTCAAATTTAATTTAAAAATCTTTCTTCTGCTCCGGAACACTACCGTACGGTTCGCACCTGGTGAGGTACCAGTACCAGTGAGTATTTTTTGTTTCGTTTTCCACAATTGAATCGAAGAAATCAAACGAATCGCTCTGTAACGACTAACGACCTCGTGCATGCTTACCGTACTAGCATACCGTACGGTATGACATACCGATACGTACATACCGGTAAACCAAAAAATGAATATTCTAGTAGAAGAAACAAAAGGGAGTCGATCAGATTTTGCAGAGGCGCCACCTAACTACGTTCTATTGAGATTGTTAATTATATCTGCAAGATTCCGCGCCTGAGATACACTTACTTGTTCTACTAGCTAGAACTACTTCTACGACTTCCATACCACCATAGACCTTTTCCTCGCTCAGCGGCACACGATGTCGGAGCCCTGATCATTCTACAATATGATGGTAAATGAATGATAACAACCCTYCATCCCTTGTGCTGAGGTTCCGTACTCTTCAAAATCATTCTTGGCGACCGAAAGTAATGCAACTGCAGGATTTGCAACGCATACATCAAAACAAGCAACAGATTCGGTGTGTTGCACGAGTTAGGTTTGTCGGATGTGAGTGACTCTACTGTGATGATTGCATGYCTACTAGGCCAGAGAACAAGTGTGTCGGAATACCCAGCCCCGGACTACAAATGCTTTACCGATGTGATGTTGTCATCCTTCGATTGCTGTCATCCTTTTTCGATCCAGGGATGTCTTCATGAGGCGGCTGCGTTTCACGACCGGCTCGAGATTGGAAACCAGAAGAGATTCAGTTATTCTCTTGGTTGTCGATGGGGGAGGAAAGGCAAGAGGTACTAAGTCAGCGGATCGCGGAACGGCTCACTCGCTGCTTTCTTGATTTGGCGTTGTCGAGATTCATAAAGAGCGTCGTGCTGCTATCCCCCACCTGACAGAGTGCAATCTTYTTCCTCCGCTYGCAGGAACCCGGCCCGGCGAGCCCACGCTTTCGCCTTGCGCTCTGGTCGCGGAGGGCCTGGAAGACCTTCTTGCGGAGGAATGCGTAGTCCCGTATCAGTTTGTACCATTCGTTCACCTCGTCGTAGAAGAGAAAGTTCAGCCCGATCGACCAGGCTTCCTCCACGATTTCGTCCAGGAGCGCGCTTTTCTGAGCAATTGTTTTCTGAGAGCTCCGTTCCTGCTCACGGCGGGTTAGAATGGCCCGAAACTTGACGTTTGCTGGATGGTCCCATGCTACCCCGCCGTTGCGAAAAATAACGCTGTCGAGATCGGGGCACTCGATGATAAAACAGGAAGGAGACAACATCGCTGAGAGGTCGGTGRCCATGAATTGTGATGGTGGCGTGGAGTCGGTAGCCGACAGGTATTGATTTTTCTCTTCTTTTTCGCGGGCTTTTTCTATGGCGAGCCGAAGCTTGATCCACTTCATTAATTTTTTGGTCTTGACCGATCCGGAACTCGTGACGGGAAAATCRTCTGGTGGTATCCCGAAGCACCGCAGCTTGTATGATGTCTCTGTAACGCTAGAAACTRTTGAATAAAGATTGAGTGAGTCGATTTGGTTTCGTRTCGCACCGAGTCAACGTCGACCCTGTTTGAGTGGGGTACTTCGAATTGAATTATCATTGAGAACAAAWCACCATACAGCCTTCGAGATACGTCCAATCGTTCACCTGTAACAAAACACACTAGACACCAACAAATRTATTGCACTGGGCAGCGAAAAGGCACGACCGATAGAAAACAAAAACAGCTAACAATTGCCGTGTCTTAGCGCAGTTGGGTACGTACCCGCATGGACCCGCGTGATGAGCCTGGTCCGCTTCCCAATGCTGTTGAGGATGAYTCCGATGCCCCCGCTGGTRKYGGGKAGGAARCAGTGGAAGGCCGAATACCGGACCGGGGCCGCTGCAAAGAACCGGAGGGACTCGTTYTGATGGACGGCCAGCTTGAAAAAGTCCAGCAACTGCTGGCCCTGGTGGTCCCCGCCGCTATGGWAAAGAGCCACGAGGCCGTTCCGCTGTGTCGTGGCGTCGTCGGAGGCAACCTGGAAGACCAGGTACATGACCACCCGGAACCGGTTGGTGTGGGAGTGCCCCGCCCCCATGGCCCCCAGAAAGGCAATGATCCGCCGTCCGARGYGGTCCCGGGAGGGCATGAGCTGGGCGCGACCCTCCCTGAGCAGCTTCTGCTCTTCTTTGTTGAGATCGCGGAGGCAGATGGGCCGCTCCAGGGCTACCTCACCAAAGTACTCGACCAGGAAATCGATGCACTTGACGTACCGGGCCGCCGCCTTTGGGACGTCGAAAAGGTCGGCACGCAAGAACTTGATGCGGAAGTGATCGGATACGGCGTATCTGTATTTCTGGTGGTCGCACTCGCGGCCGTGATCTGTGTTGCTGCTKGGTCGATATCTCGGAAGGTTGGAATCGCTAGGAACATTTTGTGGATGCGTGGATGTCCCGTATTGGCCCGTGAACACTTGTGAAGACAACGTCGGAAACGAGGGGTATTCGTGATGTTGCTGCTGCTGTTGATGATGATTCTGTTGTTCTGTGGTTGCCGATAATGAAAATGCCTCSATTGGCGTTACAKGACTTGCATTRCATGCRTGTAGGTGGGYATGCGGTAGCGATTGCGTTTCTGCTTGTCCAATGGAGCTGTTCCCGGTTTCCGCAGGCTTGGAATTGGCTTCCGAGGCCGCCAGCGAGGCAAAGAGCAGGCCCGAGAGGTACCGGTACGTGTTTGACGGGGATTGAAACCCTCCACCGAAACTGAGGAGCTTGTCCCTTAGCAATKCGTGGATTTCGCGTTCTAGATCCTGGAGGGAGGCTCGGATCATGGAAGCGTTCTCGGAGGGAGCCAGGGATCGAACCCCGTGCATCTCTTCGATCATGGCCTCGCGGTCGTCGAACGACAGGGAGTTGAGCTCGCTCGCCAGGAGCCGGTCCACGGATCTAGCATCGGCGTGGAGCAGAAAATCAGAGCTACTGCTACTACTGTTGATATTGCTGTTGTCATACGAGAGATGATTTTCTGGTAGAATCATATTCTGTTGTTGCTGTTTGTGACTAGTATAATTGCTATCGCTTGACATAAAAGTCTGCTCCTGCTCTTGCGTTCGCCCCGGATTATAGGGTTGTTGATGGTGGTAATCGCTACSAATCTTGTCGTCGATCATGTTTACTGTCGTGTCGCGTTTCGTTGTGGTTTGCTTCTTTTGGTGTTGATGATGTTGATGGTGTTGATGGTGTTGACGGTGTGGTGTAGTGGTGTAGTGGTGTTGTTAACCCGTGGAATCTAGCGGCCACCCACTAGTGCTAATGTCGTCATGCTGTACGTACTACTGATATTAGAAAGTACGTGATTATTGCTACACGTGCGTGAGTCATTTGATTGGTTCTATGTGAAAACAGTAATAGCTAGCTCGGTGCGAAAAACTTACTACGGTGCCGAATGGGTCATTCCCGTTAATCTAGATGGTCTAAAAGTCTAAAGTAGACCTTTTAGACTTTTTAGTTTAACGGGAATCATTAAAAACAGGCTCCCAATGGACTAGAATCCGGAATCGATGTACACGCGTGGGGGCCAGTTTTTGAGTACGAGTACCTTTTAAGTTGAGTCCTACAACGGATTTTCATTCTTGGATTCCGGTCTAGATTTAGACTTTTTGTCAGCGCAGGCTCCTGTGTTGACAGAAAGTCAAAAAATTGAGACTAGATGGTCTATTTTTGGTCTGTCTGTCTATCAATATTTAGACCATCTAGATTAACGGGAATCGCCCAATGTTAATCTAGATGGTCTACTTTTTGCCTTGTCACAAGAATGACTGAATGTTGAAGTTAAAAATGAATAATTTATTTTGGTCAAGGTACTAATTTATTTGCAAAAATTAATATACAAATCCACACTAAAAAAAGTTTCTTTTTGTTTCCTTGGTAAGTCCAGGGCTGTAAGAATTGTTCAAGGTTACTGGCTATGCGCACTAGTAAAGATAGTGAAGTGCAGTGCAGTGCACCGTAGTAGCCAACTTGTTGTGTAGTACCATCATCCTGAAAACTAGTACTTCCTCCGTTCCCAATTAAATGTCCCTTTTGCACCACCTTTACTAATGAAATAAGGTCATTATTTGGGAAATTGGAATGCTTCTTTTTACACTCAACAGATCTATTATACTGATACAGTTATGAAGCTTGTATAAATGGAATATGTCTGGTGAAGCACTTGATAGCTGATGAAAGAGACCGGATTTTAGCATATGGTGATTTTCATTTTACCGGTTGAACAAGAAAGGGTTCTGTCAGTCATTTAATGATGCCACCAACAGCTATAGAAAGCCAGGAATGAGAGCTTTATCACAATATTCTTATCTTAGTTAGTATTAAGAAGGTCTGCAAGGTCCCTGTGTGGTCATTTCTTGTTTGAAAGAGGTGCACCATACCATTGTCAAAATTTCATTTGATTTGTTAATTTTACTGCTGACCAGTAGTAGTAGTATGTATGTGCTGGTCATTCCAAGATTCAAGAGAACCAAATTGCTCCCAAGACTCAATCAAATGCCACTTCTACTAAGTCAAATTTTTGATTGCTTGGTCTGGTGTTCCAAGAAAATGTAAGAGAATAACATAGTACTTGCACTAAATCCTCCCAAGACTCACAAGTTTAGTTATTATTGTGATCAGTCAGTCTAGCATAAAAAAGAAGTCAAAAACTACTACAAGAATAAACATGGACAGCTTTGGCTATTGTATAGAGTAAGAACCAAATGTAWGCACCAGTTGTATGTTTTGGGCCCTTATTTTGTGTCTAATGACTACTTTGACTAAAACATACAAAATTGACATGTTTCTTGGTATTAGTGTTAAATTTTATTCCCACCAGTCAGCAGGAATGCAAAAAAAGAACTCCAGACAGATTTGAAATATTTATCAAAATTCAGAGAAAATCTAATATCAATGGGGAAGCAATGCAAAGTAGTAAAGATTGYTGTCTTAATTGTGACAGAACCAATGTTACAGGTAAATGAGACTTGCCTACTACTCACTGTTGACAAGATATCATTTGCTAGCATCAAAGAAATTGAAACATTAAATAAGTATCTGAACTGATTGTGTGACAAGACATCATATGA